AAGGAGAGGCGCTGAGGCAGACACTAGCCAGCTGGGTTGGGTGTGGGATGGAGCCATGGCTTGTGCAGGGAGATGGGGGAGGCAGCTCCTCCTGCTGCACACACCCCTGGAGGACACATGTGGGGGGGGGTGCACCTCAGATCTGGTGTGGGGTGGGGCCAGGCTCCTCCTGGCAGGAGGAGGGGGATTAGGCCAGGCTACGTTCAGGGCAGACGGTGGTACTGGGAGGAGGTGTTGGGGGGGGCCACACAAAATTTTGGGGTGACTGCAGCCCCCCCCTTTAGCCCCCTCCCAGTGCCACCACCCACTCCAAATGCAGCCTGGCCCACTACTCCCCCCTGCCAGGAAGAGCCCAGCGCAGCCCCAGCCTGCGCAGATCTGGGAGTACACATTCCCCCCCGCCAATGCCATCCCAGATGCGCTTAGTGGCAGAAGCCACCTCCCACTTGCCCCAGATGAGATGCGACTCTGCCCCGTGCCCTGCCCCAGCTGGGCAGCCTGCCCCGGCCCCACTCCCTCCCTCACCACGGGGGCCTTGATTGGCGTTCCTTCCCTCCCCTTCCACCAGAACAGACTTACCAGCTGCATGCTGCTAGGCTGTGTATCAGAAATTGAGCTGGTATCAGTTGATGTGCCTCCTTAAAAATTGGCCATTGGTAGCGGCCTCAAAAATACCTATCAGTGCACCCCTACCAGCCTGGGGGCAGAGCCACTAAGGGAGTTTTTGGGAGCTGTTGTGGGCAAGGAGGGGCAGGTGCTGACCCAGCCCGCAACAGCTCACCAAAGCTCCTTAAGTGACCCGCCAACTCAAATAATTGCCACCCCTGCATTAGAAGGTAGGGAGGTGGGAAGGCGGACAGCTGTACTCATGGCCCGCCCTTCAGTGAAGCTCAGCTTACATAGCTCATTGCTCAATGGAGCCTAAATGGGAAATCAGTTATGGAAAGTGTGATGCATTTCTTTTGAAAACCTATCATTTTCAGATGTATAATTGCATGCATGCTCAAGACTAATTTCATCTTCTTAAGTGTCACTCATTTTCTACAGTGACTTTTTAATGGCACTGTCACCATTACATAGCACCTTTTATATAAACTTTACCAATTGTAAATGTTAAAACAGGAATCACTCGACCAAGTGGAGAAATAAACTGAAACCTAACAGCTGTTGATCAGTATTCAGGCTAGGAAAAAAAGAACACTTTGGGGGTTAGCTAAGGTAACCAGAATTTCTCTGACTTTTAAAGGACTAAAAAAATTACAGCCTGCATCCCTTGTCACCTTGTCCATATATTTGAAGCAAAGCCCATGATTCTTCTATTAGACCAACTTAAATAGCTGGAAAAAAAAATTTTAAAGCAAGCTTTTGGATTTAAAAACCCTTCGTCAGGTTGGATGTTTTTGCCAGAGGCCGGGCTGGTATGCATGCAAGACAGGCAGTCAGTGAAAATGTAAATTGAGTCAGTGGGTGAAAACAGACTCTGGATTCTTTACTTTTCATTCCATCCAGGAAATGCACACACCAACTGCAAAAACTTCCTCAGCCTGACGAAGGGTCTTTAAACATGAAAGCTTGCTTTAAAAGTGTTTGTTTCCAACTATTTAAGTTGGTCTAATAAAAGATAACAGATTCACCCAAAGAACCTTGTCTGCCTATGTCCTTAGACCAACCCGGGTATAACGTACACCCCTGATTCTTCTATGTCTTTTACACTATTGGAGTGGCTAAATCTAATAAAATACCTTATGAGTTGACTAACAAACAGTCCCCCAAGCACTGGGGTTCCTCATGAACACATTAACATTTTACTGATGTACCATTACCATTAGCAAAAAGGAGACTGAAACTCCTCTAGTCTGAAGGGCTGAGAAAACAAGACTCTTACATACTTCACTGACACGGCCTAGTCACTAGATGGGAGTACAGAGTCATTGCGCACGTGCTCCCACAAAACCAAGACATAGGTAGCAAGCCTGCACTCCATGCTGAAAAGACAAGACAATTCCCCTTTAAACATGAAAAGCTTGGAAAAGATGTGCGATTCCCACCTTCGTCATCATCCTCTTCTTCTTCTCTATTAGTTGTAGTTCTGTTTCCTTTGAGGGGGGGAAAATGCAAGATGTAAATGGCAATTTACAGGCTTATAACCCAGTGCTAGACACTTTAGATACTTTAGATCTAGTCCAGCAGAAGTGGGTCGTTACAACTGTGCACTAAGAAATGTGGAGGTGGTCATGTAAAAAAATGGACTCGTCAAGGCAAGACGAGTTTCCAGCCTAGGTGTTACTACTGCGGCAGTAGCCAGTGGTCAAAATCACGATGCTTAAGACTGCAAAGTGCCTATTGGCCACCCCATTTTCTTACTCCAGGTGACCAGAAGCAGATTCTCCCTCCGCATCTGTGCTTTCCCCAAGCCAGTATCTTCTCTTACCAAAACAAGAATCCATTTTTGGATGGCTCACATAACCTTGCTTTCAACGGTTCAAACCACAAGGGAAGACTAGAGAAAAACCAAGTTTCCCTTTAAACACATGAAATTCCTGATTTTTAATAGGGTCACAGCAGAGACCGGTGAAATGCTCCGTTCACACAGAGGCGCCCAGAGACCTTACCCGGGCGCGGGGCCTCCCCGAGCACTGGGCAGCAGCGGGGCGTTTCCCATGTCCCTCAACATGGGGCAAGGCCCAGAGCAGCAGACGCCCCGGGGGGGGCATGTACAGCGCGGGCAGGACGAGGAAACCCCGAGCGCGGAGCGGGCTGTGCAGGCCCCGTGTCTGCGGCAACCCCCGGCCCGGCCGCACCTCCGGAGGTCGGGCGTTCAGCGCAAGGCCAGGCGGCCGCAGGACGGGCCC